TCAAACTCACATTCTTTCTTTTCAACTCATCTTTTTTTTCTTCTTGATTTTTACTCTCATTTTGCCTTTCACTCTTCTCTTTTTTTTCACTAGTCTCACTTTTGCTCTCTTCTCTCTTCTCTTTTTCTTCAAATTCTTTTCTTTTCTTCTCTAATTTCAAGTGGTCACAATGTACTTCAAATGGAGACAACGGAAGTAAGTAAATTTCTTTCCTTTCAAAGTAAAACTATACTTGTTCAACAGTCCATCATATGTGACCTCTCTATCATATTGCCATGGTCGGCCCAATAGTATATCCCCCGCATTCATAGGGACAACATCACAAAGGACTTCATCTTTGTATCTTCCCAATGTAAAAGGAATAAGAGCTTGGGAGTTTACCTTTAGTTCTCCTTTGTTTGTCAACCATTGAAGTTTGTATGGTTTTGGATGTGGACGTGTAGCAAGTTGAAGTCTCTTAACAAGAAAACTACTTACCACATTTGTGCAACTTCCACTATCAATCACCAAGCTACACGGATTTCCTTCAATTAAGCATCTTGTGTGAAACAAGTTTTCCTTTTGATCTTCAACTTTCTCTTCCTTGATTTGTACACTAAGTACCCTTCTTGTTATCAAGGATATGAAGTTACCTTCTTCAATATACTCTTCATCACGTTCTTCAAATTCTTCATCATGTTCCTCACAATCATCATCCGAGTCAACTACACCATTTCTTATCACCATAACTCTTTTATTGACACAATCTTTACTCATGTGTCCAAACCCTTTGCACTTCCAACATTGAATAGAACTAGTCTTTTCCCTTACCTCCTTTGGAGCTTCATTCCTTTTAGTATTGGAACTTTCTCCCTCCATTCTTTTGGCAGCTACGAACTTTTCTTTTGGTTGCAATGATTCATTCCTATTCACAAAACCAGCCTTGTTCCAAGCATTAGAATTGGAATATGTATTAGCTTTAGATGTGTACCTTTTTGAATACTCCTTTTCTTCCTTCAATTGATCTTCAATTTTGACAACATAATGGTACATATCTTCTAGGTAAGGCGGTGGATTTCTATCAACAGCATGAGCAATTTCTCGATTCAAACCTCCAAGGAATCTAGACATGGTGTCTTCCTCTTCTTCTCGGATTTGGGTTTTTAGCATTAAGGTCTCCATCTCTTGATAATACTCAGCAACACTTTTCGTTCCCTGCCTCAAAGCTTGCAGTTTAGTTTTCAAATCTCTTTCATAGTGTTTTGGAACGTACCTCCTTCTCATGGCTTCTTTGAGTTCTTCCCAAGTGTCTAATGGATCCTYCTCCTTCCTTCTTCTTTCTAATTTGAGATTTTGATACCATTCACCGRCATGATTGGTGAATTCAGCAATGGCGAGTCTCATCTTCGTATTCTCACTATATGTATAGCAATCAAACACATGTTCTATCTTCCTTTCCCATTGCAAGTAAGCATCGGGGTCCRCCGTTCYACTAAAGGGTGGAATYTTKAGTTTAACTCCGYCATCYCTATTTTCATTTAATCTTTCCAATCTTCTAGGTTGCATGACGTTGGCAAAGTTATTTCGTCCTCTTCCTCTCCCATTTCTTCTTCCTCCAACTTGTCTTTCTTGTTCAGCAAGGTCAAACGCATCATCTTCTTGTAAGGCTCGTTCTTCTCTTTGTTGTTGCGCTCTCCTTTCTTGTCTATCTTCCATCATCATTTCCATCATTCCTTGAATTGCTTGAAGAATCACCATGTTAGGATCTTGCGGTACTTGTGGTACTCCATCCTGTGCCATTTTGTTAGAAACAATAATAATGATAATAAGGACCTTACCACTCTTCTCACCAAGATTTCACTCAAGGGTAGGCTTTTGGTACTAGGTCAAAGATGTAAG